CTTTGAATGAAGTTGTCTCGGACGTTAACAATAAGACAGCGATAAGCTTTCCTGTCACAGGGGCCATGGATGATGACAAATTTCAAAGGTATTATGTATTTGTTCCAATGGTAGAGTCACCAGGAATCGCCTTCATCACAGTTGGCCAGAAGGATGGAAGTAAAAACATAGTCATATCGACACTGTTGAAGTATTTGCCGCTACACCTGTTTTGTTTAATGATGGCTTTCGTGGCTGGTACCATCATCTGGGCCCTGGTGAGTAGAGCTGGCCTTGTGCCTTCTTTATCCATGGTGTGATCTTCATCCGACAAACAAAGTCAAACTCTTTCTAGTTAGCTCCTTCAAATGGCGATAACCTGTCCACCATTTTCCTTCAAAAAAAAATGGTCAGGTTGTTTTCTATTCGCAAGGGGACACGTTGTGAATTTTGGGTCTTTCTAATAAAGCTTGGAATTCTCTGTAACAAACTGGAAAGACATTTAACTAAATCTATTATTGGGCATGTTTTTTCCTTCTTCCCTTACAGTACCTTTGCTTATTTTGCGTTTTTCTTTGATTTGTAGTTCCCTCCAGGCCTAAAGTAGATTTCTGCGAGCCTAAACGGATTTAAATTGCGTTATATAGTTGTGTCAGGTTGTTAAGAACTACTCTCTTCATAAGACTAAACAAAATAGCGATAAAAACCTCCCTAATGCCCCAAGAGTGCTTGCATTGAGTAATTCATATGCATTGCCCCTGTGGACGCAGTCTAAGTTCTTGGAGAGTCACACAAACTACTTGCCATTTAGATATGCTCCTGAGCAATAATTACCAAAACCCACGTTTCTCATGTTCCCTTTTTTGTCATTTAGGAAACAACCCGGGATGACGGTTTCGCCCACTCATTCATCAAAGGGGCTTTTGAAGGATTTTGGATTTCCTTTACTTCCATGACAACTGTCGGGTAAACCATGAAATTATTATTTCCACGATCACCAAATAACGAATAGAAAATTATCAATTTCGTTTTGGCCGTTTTGAAAAGTGACGAAGCAGAACATGAAAAAATAAATCAGTAACTTTCACGTTACTAAGAAGACTCTGAATTTAGTAAAAGATAATATAAAATAAGATGATTTAGTGCATGCTCATATCATTTCGGATGCCTGCAGATATTTTGCCCAATTTAACTGTTCGGACTATTGTCACGTAATCTTTCAAGATTTCACAGGATTGGGTGATAGATTAAGTGTACGCACAGGGCCACGTGCAATGAGAAAGTAACTCAATATCACGAAAGTTACGACGTTGCGGAGTGACGAAGTTGCGTTCAAGTTTTTCTTGCGTTCGTTCCATACGGCACAAATAAAGGAACTCGAACAAGGTCGTCAATTTACTTTTAGATCTCGACAGGAAGCCATAATGAAGAGCAAAGTCTGTTGAGTTTGTTTGTTAAATCTCATAAATGTGTGTTTATTATCATTTATTTAGTTACGGAGATAAAGTGCTTGTGGGGTTCTGGTCAAGGCTATTCGCGGTGGCCTGGATTTTAGCTGGCCTGGTTGTGGCTTCTGTACTTACAGGAGCACTAGCTGCCTCGCTGACATTCTACACGATAGAGAAAGATGTAATGTTGTACGGCTCAAAGGTATGTTAGAACTGAGCCTTTGTCATTACAATAAATAAATAAAAACAAATGAAAATCAGTGCACTCGAATCAACTACATTACAAGCCACAGAAATATCCTCTAGGTCCAGACCGTATTCAGATAGGCGTTTTTGTTTTTATGGAGGGATGAAATCGCTTAGTGCGGCAATCAAAACTCAGTTGCAACTGAGGAAACCAAAGGCTGTCTCCATTTGGCTTCTACTGTCTTGTTACCCTGCAAAGCCTGGATTTTAAAACATTGAACTACTTTTTTCTAGTGAAGCCTGCGCAACAAATATACTTTCTGTTTCACAAAACCTTAATGCTGAGAGCATGTTCCAACAATAAGGCAGGTTTTCCACGAACAGAAATGACACCTTTAGCAAGCGAAATTACATTACATACGATGTACGATGGAACTTACCGACTGTTTCGAGTTCAGAGTGGCCATAACTCAACAATTTTGGTTAGCAAAATATGCCAGTATAAACATGGAGACTTCTTTTTTGACAAAGCACATGGCCGATATCCCGGATCTGGACGTCAAAATGTAGGCAAGCAGTGGGAGCTACACTTGATGAGCAAATAATATAACATTTTCCTTTTTAGTTTTTTATTTTCTTCATTTGGGGATTTTTCTTTGGCTTTGTTTCACTCTCACTTATCTGCCGCAGACAACGAACAGGATGAAATTAATAACTTTGATTTGAAATTTTCTAAAGTAAAAATACAAAGATAAACAGGCACGTCATTTTATTATAAGGCACCGTACAGGATTATTTAGAAGATGTAGCGGGGAAATTGTTTTTGACATATCTTTTTGGATTGCATTCATGTCAAGGTGACGGCTCTAACTGATTCACCGGCCCATAGACTTGGCGTCAGAAGAAATGCTCTCATCAGTGAGTAGAAAAGGTGTAAAATCTAAAGTTATGATACAAGATGCGTGCGTTAAATAACGTATTTCGCCAACTAGTCATTAAAAGGCAACATTACCTCTACAAAATTTTAAATTACGTGCATGGAGATCAGATGCCTGGCCACTGATACTATCAAACACTTTTAAAAGCAACAAAAAAAAATCAGAAATAATTTGCAATGTATTTTGGTTTAGATGCAATGGAACTTGACATTGAAAAAAAGTTGCAATTTAGTATTGACTGTTAAGTGAAAGGTACCTTAAAAGTTTGCATTTGTTACCTTCAAACATAGGACACCTCAAGATTCGTCTTCTAGAGTTCTAGGGGTCTCCATTTTATTGAGAGTTTGCCATTGCTGTTCCCTTTGTTTCACCAGGGCCACGAGGCACTCTACAGGAAGCATATAAATCTCTTGGGCAGGGTGAAGTCAATGGACTGTTGTTAGATGCCTATATCGCCGGAAGTCACTCCATCAAGGATCTCTTTGACCAGCAACTACGGGTCAAGGAAGTTATAAAGCTACCAAAAGGGTTTGGAGTTGTCTTATCAGGAGAGGCCATGAGGCTGCAAAAGAGAGTTCGTGACTACATCAGAAATAACGCTGGACTTATCACCAAAATGATCGAGAACAGTACTACTCCATTACAGGTATACTTCAAACCTTCTAATTTCTGATAGCACCTTGACATGTTTCCTTGTTGCTGGTCGCTTCATTCTTCTATTTAAGAACGAAATACACCAATAAACTGTCAATTTTTGTTTCCTAGCAACCAGAAAAAAGTGAGGCCGAGGAACGGACTACAAAGCTGTTTTCTGTTGAATCCCTGTTATTTCATGAGGTACTTTTTGCGCTGTTGCAAGCACTTGGGGCTGCTGTCCTCTGTGGCCTCGTTTTGGAAGCCATCCATAAACTTCGCGCTCGAAGAAAAAATGCACTTCCAGGTAAGTCAGTCAGTCAGTCATTCAGTCAAATTGTTTTGATTTAACAATTAAACTGGGTGATCACAAAGTCAGTTGAATGAGGACAGTTCATAAATCAGTCTTTGAGGCAGGCTTTTGGTCTGTCGCTCGATCGGTAAAAGAATCATACAATTAACTAGTCAGTCAGCTATTGGTTGGTTGATCGGTAGGTCGGTCAGTAAATGATTTAATGGTTTCGTCATTCAGTAAACCATTCAGTCAAGCAGGACGTCAGTCACCCTTATTTATTATATTAACTTTCATGAGTCAAAACAGTAAGCCCACTTGTCAGTCTCTACCACTTACTGCAGTTTGTCAGCGAGTTAGTGATCAGTTCTATTTTACGATTGATAGTAAACTAAAAAAGAAAGACTAGCAGTCTTATTGATTCCTATCTTGTTCACTCCTCTAGAAGGGCATGGCCGTGCAAGACTGATGGCACAAAGAAACGAGATGCTGAAGACAGTGCAAAATTTTCATGAAAGTTTCCGACAACTTTACTTGGATTTAACATATAAAAGTGTTCAGGAATTTCGAAATTTTGAAGAAGAACGAAACCGACGAAAACAGAGTCGGAAAAATACTTGAACGTGATGGAAAATCGACTACATTAATACAGAACTCTTTCATACTTTGGATTAAAATTCTATACTTAAGAATTTATGTATGTTGAGTCATGACTAATAAGAACTCGAGCTGAATATTGAATGACAAGTTTATAATTCTCCCTGCTGAATTAAAATATTTATTGAAGACACATCTTAGTGGGACTTTGTGATCGATGTTTGCCTTAGTTTAAAGCCATGATTGGTGCTTCGATTTAACTTAGAGTTCATTGTTTTTTTTCGGTTTAAGAATACTTGGTGGGTATTCACTCAAAATAAAAGTAAAAGTTGTCCTTTCAGACAAAGACATTATGTTCCTTTCCCACGGTTGACAAAAACATCGCAACGTCATCTTTTTACTTATTGGTATTGTTTGTATCTATATTTCTAAAAAGATTGTAAACAAGACTTTTGCCTTGGATCTAGTCTATCTGAATGTTTTTCAATACGTATTTTACAGCGTAAATATTAATAAAGTTTGATGAGATCAACTTGAATATTGATTACAATAACCTATCAAGTCACCAACGTAGCGCATAACTTTACTTGGGAAATTCGCATGATTTTGTCTATCTTTATTTTCCTCAACCGTGGCAAATAATTCCAAGTTCAGTAATCGACCCTGACAACTTTTATCTTTGAAATTTTAATCCAATTGACTGTCGCACCAGAAAAATCCTAAAAACCCGTATTGTTAAATGCTGAATTCTTCTGTCCTCGAGGCTGATTTCAACGCCCGCCAAAACTGCATGCATACTGGAACATCAATTTTTAGCAATTTCTGATGCATTTTTATTTCTATATATAAAATTAATTAACATGAATACATGTTTACTGAACAATTTATTTTTCCAGATTGTTAAGTGGATTCCACATTTCATACTTACATTTCTCCTCGAGTTTTCGATAATTCTACAGATGAAGGGTACGTTTGCATAAAAAAGGAAAGTTTGAGTGCTACATGAAAAATTTAACCAGCCCTTGTCAATATAAAGTCGTGTTTGAAAAGTTAGTACAAACATCTGGCTAGGAACAATGGATAGTTTATTTTCATGAGTTTTTTTCATTTTACCCGAAACCGGCTTTTGAAGCCAAAAAAAAATGATGTAAGTTACAATTGACAAGGATCCGCCCATGTATGATATATATATCGGTGCATAAATATCTCGTCTTTTCTTATGATACCTTTGCTTGGATAAACTTGTTGGAAATATCGAAAAAAAACTGAGTTAGAGTGAAATTATAATTGGGGCCATGCAAAATCTGGTTAAGTTAGTCAGGTCTGTACGGGTCTTAGGTTCGTGCAACTATTTCACTTTATCGATGCTTTAAAAGGCAAGTAAAAATCGGCAAATGTTAAGTCCTAGATGCCTTTATCCGGATACGCTTATCCTTCAGAGATGATTTCAGCTTTCTGAGCAACAATTTGGCATTTATTTAAAAGTATCTTCTAAAGAAAAGGATTGGAAAAAAAATCTTAGAAACATGAACAAATCAACAGACACTTAATACTGCAAAAATAAAAATTCCCTAACTCAAACAATTGTACTAAGTAACCAATACCACATGCAAGCTGCGTTTAAAAGCTACCAATGAGACGACTTCAAAAAAACGAAGGTTTACCAGTTTGGGGCGCATTAGTTAGAGTTTGTATTAAGCACGATGTTTGCACTTTTGTTAATCGAATTTACATAACGCGCAAGCAAACCGTTAAAGGTCTTAACAGCATGTTTAACGCATTGGCTAATAGCAGGTGGCCGAGGCCCTTCATTGGTTAACATCTAATTGTCTCGGGGGAAACCAGTTTTTCCTTTAAACATGAATAATGAATGGTTGGGGTTGTTTTTAGGCATCGGTAACGTACTGAAACAAAGTTAATTTCGAAGCTTTCACTTCACTTTCACTCAATCATTTTGGAGTATCATCGTTTTTCCTTCTTCCAGCTTTCATGGTTGCTCTGGTAGTATGGAGGAATGAGTGATTCCACCTAATTTTTGCTAGTTGAAGACTATATAAGTGAAGCCTAGGTGAAGATTTTTGACAGAGATGAACACATCATGCCATTGATAATCTCCAAATTGGTCACTATGGTAAGTAGAGACGGATGCTACCTTTTTTCTTTATTACTAACAATTACAACCCAAATGTATAACTTATGAACATATCTTTTGCTACAAGAACATTCTTCCATATTTTCCTTATCAATTTAGGTGTTGTTTTATACCTTCTCGAAGATCTCCGCGACTGGAGGATCATTATGCTCAGGTATTGTTTTGTTTAGACTAAGACAGAATTTATCCTTACAGTATCAATACAATATCAACCAGATGAGTGATGAGAATAAAGAAAAATATCAGTTTGGGGATAATTAGTTGATCCAACACTAAATTTTCTGAACTAACATTATAAGATTTGTATGGTTGAGAGTAAGGAGAATTACAAATTTCATCTGTGAGTTAAAGGGTTAACATTAAAGTTTTTTATCGCTGAGGAAATATCGAATGTTCCTTCTATGAAATACAACTCGAAAATCTCATTTTTTCAGATGAAGAAAAATCCAAATATATTTTTTACAAAATTGATAACAAAGTTCAATTTTGAGGTACACTTTAAATAACCATCTTTCGAGAAAAATTAATGATTCCATTATCATTGTGAGCATATCTTTTCATGTCTATCAAAACATCTGGTACTCGGCATGATAAAAGCGATCGTGAAAAGAAAAAAGAACAGATTATTCAACAAAGAACCTTCCTAAGTTTATTATTAGCTTTTCAAACATGTTTGGTTTCTCCCTGTGCTCCTATGATTCAATAAAGGACATTGAGTCAAATATCACCTAAACTGAAAGTTTATTCTTCAAATAGTACTGTGCAAAAATGTTGGATGGTATCTTACTTATGGTGTTAATGTAGGCTGTATTTTGAGGGATGTTAGGTGGATCATTGACAAAATTGAATTTTTAGCCTAAAAAATGAAAATCCACGCACCATAATGGAAAACTGATAATTGCTTCCAGCCCAAACAAAACTGAGCTCTCCCTGTCAGCAATTGCCTACTGGAGTTTTTCGTTCTCGTTTATCATTCTTGACTAATTAAAAGATCCCAGGCGACGAGACTTAGACGCCTTTGTTCGTAATTGCATCGCCCTGATGCAGATAAAATAATGCCATATTTCCACACTTAGTAATACTTATCGCGTTAAGGGCCCGATCTTTTTCAAGGAAGCTTAGAATTACAATTTTTCCAAAGGCACAAGTCTTAATTATCGCTCACATGGAGGCAAATTTCTCATTTGTCATTGATTATCAATTACTGGTCTTTTCTTTCAAACGTGACATCTACCCTAATTCTATGTAGAATACTTAGAACAGAATCTTTTTCCACCAAGAATTCTGTAAAATTCCAGAAAATAACTTCAACCATTACTCCATGGTTTTGGACCTGAAAGACTGACTTTTCGTCTTCGCGTAATACAACATTCTCGTTAATTTTGCAGTCATCTTTAGTGAAATAATCTCATGATATGGATTTCTTTTGGGGAACAAAAACATTTTCCAGAGTGATAATCGAACAAATTTTTCCTTACGCGTCAATTTAAGAACAGCATGACCTCTTGTATTTGCAATATCGTTAGTTCTGAAGTTGGTTTCACCGTGGAATATCAGTTTTTATTTAATTTTCTCGTATGTTTAGGGTCTCACCCATTTTACCAACTCAAAAGAGTCTTTGGTGTTATAGAGGGTTAAGGATTGCCTCATACAGTGGCATGATTTTAATTAGATATGAAGATTGCGGGAGTTCAGAGAGCACAGAAGTGGCGTTTGAGTTGCCCGAGGTGCAGCCGAGATTCGCTTTCCAACAAAAATATTCGCGTACGAGCGTTTACCCTTGTGACTCAAGCTTCCACTGATAATGTCGAAAGCAAATGCAGCTTTTCCGAATTCCTCCAAGATCCTAATGAACACTGAATTCAAAATTGCCTGTTTTTTAGATCATGACTTCAGTCTAGAATTTCCAAGCCGTCAGAAGTCTAAATCAGCGTATTCCACTGTCAAGATAAATGGAGACAAAGACATCGATGCTCTCACGATATGCTTATGGTTGAAACCGTCCTTGGGCTCGGATCTTGGACTTCTACGCTATTTTGATGAAGCGGGGTCCGATGTATATTTTGCATTGAGGCTAGGTTCTGTTGGGCAGATATGGCTTTCGATCCACGGTGAAGATAGGTAATAAACAGAAATGTTTTTGCCACCTATACCTTGTCACATCACTTTTTTAAATTTTTTTTTAATCGCTCTGCTCTCCGATTTAGTCTGTATTTACATTGGCTAATACTCCTGTGTAAGTGCATTAGCCCTGGGCTATTATTGGAAATTCTCTTGGACTTCTTTTCAATTTCCGTGGCAATAGTCATTGTCGGGCTCTATATCTTTATCTTTTTTTATCATTTATTTCTTGGGGGAATGTTTGGTCTCCGTCTTTAAAAAACTAATTAGCTCGTCGTGGTTTGGACAAAGGTACTCTAGCCAAAGCAAACTTGTCTGTGTTGATGTCGCTTGCGGACTCGATATGATGGCAGAATTTTCAGTAGCTTGTATGAATTTTTAATACATATATAGTATTATTGTAGAAAAAGAGTTTTCAAGAGTCAAAAGTTTATGAGAGGGCCCAATTCATAAGCTGTTTTACCAACGCACTAATAATCTATTTTATAATAAAATGCTATAGCAGAAATGCTTCTTGCAAACCCACTACAATTATTTCTCAAAGCAAAATACAGAAATTAACGCGATAAAAAATGGTTTGCCCTGAGGGTGAAATAAAAAATAATGACAAGGGTATACAGATGTCTCACAAAAAAGCTTCCCTTACCAGTTAATGTATTTTTAAATATCTCAGTCATATCTAGCTAGGTATAGCAAAGGTCGTAGTTTGAAACTCTCTAACCTTTTTTTTTTCCTATGTCTTGTGTTCATAACGTGAAGCAAAGGAAAATTGACAATAGGCTGGTTTAGAAAATTTTGAATTAAGGACTCATTTACTTTTCTGAGATGATTTTTTTCGTTTAATAGAGAACTAGATATCATGCCTCAAATCCAGAACGGCGAATGGCATGGACTATGTGTCACATGGAACAAAGATGATGGCCATTTTCTGATTTACTACGACGGTCGGTTAATTAGAAGTGAAAGTGATTTCAAATCCGGAAAATCATTTTCCTCGAAGAATACCTTTACTTTGGGAATCGGAGCGGAGGAAAAGTTTAACTACACCGGTATGTTAGGGCATGTAAATATATGGCCACGCATTTTGGAGCACCCTCTCCTTTCAGTTCTTTCTTCCAAGTGTGGGGTAGAACGCGGAGGACTCGTTTCTTGGCCTCAGTTCCAGAAGGATCTTCGTGGTGTTAATTTGGGAGAATCCTGTTCTTCTAATGGTAAGGGCAAACACAGTTAATAGCTCCTGCTTAAGGAGCACTTGATTTAACGTAAGGGTAGAGAGCTGGTGACTTGCATTATTTCTACCGACTTCTCTTGCATACTGATGTCCTCTTCCTAGGCCGCGAAAATGCCATTGTATCTGTAACAGATCTCGACAGAAATATAAACAATATACTTCACTAACCCAAAACACTTTCACGATAGCTGTTTGATCTCCAGGAAAATAATTCAGGTTATAAAAAGATGTTAGTAGATTTTTTACTAGCGCAGGCCAAATTAAAAAGAAAAAGTATGGATCCTTACGAGAATCGGTCCCATTCTTTCCGATTCCGTGCTTTGTGTTTATTAAAATTTGTTAGCTTGTCAATAAAAGATTTTACAGCTCGTTTCCTCTATTTTAGAAGTTCGTATAACGCATGAAGTGAAGCACTGGAAGCTTAATGGAGAGGATCAAGATCTGAAGTAGGTTTTCTGATATATGCGAGCTTGACGTTATCCTATCGACGTTGTAGTCGTAGCTATTGACACCGCAACAATCTTTATCATTATAATAA